GCCTACTTGCTTCTGCCTTCTTCGCTGCACACAGGTCTTTATTGAGTCATCCCAGAAACATTGGGCAAGGGGCTCAATCAACTGTTCTCTCAGCACAATGATGACAGTTTAAGGAGCTAATGGTATACTTGGAAAACTCAGCAGTGGCCAGAGGATTGGAGAAGATCAGTCTACATCCCAATCCCAAAGAAGGGCAGTGCCAAAGAATGCTCCAATTACTGCACAATTGCACTCATTTCACACGCTAGCAAGGTTATGCTTAAAATTCTACAAGGCAGGCTTAAGCAGTATGTGGACCGAGAACTCCCAGAAGTGCAAGCTGGATTTCGAAAGGGCAGAGGAACCAGAGACCAAATTGCAAACATGCGCTGGATTATGGAGAAAGCTAGAGAGTTCCAGAAAGACATCTACTTCTGCTTCATTGACTATGCAAAAGCCTTTGACTGTGTCAACCACAGCAAACTATGGCAAGTTCTTAAAGAAATGGGAGTGCCTGATCACCTCATCTGTCTCCTGAGAAATCTCTATGTGGGACAAGAAGCTACAGTTAGAACTGGATATGGAACAACTGATTGGTTCAAAATTGGGAAAGGAGTACGGCAAGGCTGTATATTGTCTCCCTGCTTATTTAACTTATATGCAGAATTCATCATGCGAAAGGCTGGGCTGGATGAATCCCAAACCGGAATTAAGATTGCCGGAAGAAAAATCAACAACCTCAGATATGCAGATGACACAACCTTGATGGCAGAAAGTGAGGAGGAATTAAAGAACCTTTTAATGAGGATGAAAGAGGAGAGCGCAAAATATGGTCTGAAGCTCAACATCAAAAAAACAAAGATCATGGCCACTGGTCCCAACACCTCCTGGCAAATAGAAGGGGAAGAAATGGAGGCAGTGAAAGATTTTACTTTCTTGGGCTCCATGATCACTGCAGATGGTGACAGCAGCCGTGAAATTAAAAGACAGCTGCTCCTTGGGAGAAAGGCGATGGCAAACCTAGACAGCATCTTAAAAAGCAGAGACATCACCCTGCCAACAAAGGTCCATAAAGTTAAAGCCATGGTTTTCCCAGTAGTGATGTATGGAAGTGAGAGCTGGACCATAAAGAAGGCTGATCGCCGAAGAATTGATGCTTTTGAATTATGGTGCTGGAGGAGACTCTTGAGAGTCCCATGGACTGCAAGAAGATCAAATGCATCCATTCTTAAGGAAATTAGCCCTGAGTGCTCACAGGAATGACAGATCGTGAAGCTGAGGCTCCAGTACTTTGGCCACCTCATGAGAAGAGAAGACTCCCTGGAAAAGACCCTGATGTTGGGAAAGATTGAGGGCACAAGGAGAAGGGGACGACAGAGGACGAGATGGGTGGACAGTGTTCTCGAAGCTACAAACATGAGTCTGACCAAACTGCGGGAGGCAGTGGAAGACAGGAGTGCCTGGCGTACTCTGGTCCATGGGGTCAAGAAGAGTCGGACACGACTAAACGACTAAACAACAACAACAAAAATGGTATATAATCTCTGGATTATATTACGGATCATTTCTTGCTTTAAAAAAAAAAAGACACTAAGGACTATACCATAATGATTTGCTTGACGGGCCATATGCATTTTTTAAATAACTCTTGCTTTTCCTTTGCAGGGGACTCACATCATGCCACTACTGACCTCCGTGCTGCATGATGAATCTCAGTGGGAAAAACCATACCAATTTTATCCTGAGCACTTTCTTGACTCTGAAGGAAAGTTCATAAAGAGAGATGCATTCATGCCTTTCTCTGCAGGTAACTCAATTTCTGTCTATTTATACATATCCAATGTGAGCTTAATGAACAGGCCATCCTAAGTATATTAACATAAAATAAAACTGGATGGAAGACACAATCCCAAACTGTCATTTAGAACTGCAATAAGATACGCAACATTATTCATTTTCAGTAGGGCAACTTCTGGGCCAGTGGCCAAATCGGACTCTTCAAGGCTCTCTAACCACCCTCAGAACTTCCCCCAGGCCTTGGCTTTCAGTGGACCTGCTCTGTGTTCCCCTCGTGGGCTTTTGCCTGGCCGGAATGTGCCATTGAACTATGCTAATGCCACCTGCTTGCTGTGGTAGAGAATGGATACAGGCTGTTTGGAGGATTAGGGTACAAGAAACTCTCAGACCGTGGGCTGAAAAACATCCGCTCCCCTTGGTTTTCAGCCCTGTAGAATGCTTCTTTTCATCTTTTGCATACTTGCCAACATTCCTCAGATGAAAATCAGGACATTTTTCATACTCATCCAACTCACCCTCCTCGAAAGACCATTTGTGGTCCCCTGTCCCCCGTCAGAAAAAGTCGAGTGCTGCCATTTCTAAACCAACAGGACTCACGACTTGCACCCTCAACTGTCCTGAGAAAACCTCTTAGCCCCAATCTGATTTTATTCTTTTGGTAGATTTACAAAAGGAAAAACACACACCGATAAACACATTTTAGAAAGAGGCAAGATTAGACGTGGCTGCCCCAAGCATTTTTAATAAATCCAGACTCCTTGTGCTCCGTTCTGCTCCCCTTCCTCCCACCCAGGACTGCTCTGCCCTCTGCCTCCCCCTCAGAGCCACTGCATCATCATGCTAGTTCTCGACAGCCACATCCTCTCCTCCAGCAGCCACTACGGAGGGGCAAGTGCTGACTCATACTTTTCCCCAAGCTCAGCAGCAGAGCATGCATTGTGGGACTGGCACTGGAGAATTGGGACACTTGGAGAACATGCACTTCTTCAAGATTAGTGTTCATTCTTGTTGCATTTTAGAATGGTATCATTATGAAATTTCAAACAGTAAGCAGTTTGACGCATTCCATTATAGATAAACCAAGAAAATGTTATTAAGTAAGCCACGAGCCCAGTTTCAATCCTGCTTGCGCTTCCTTACAGGTCGGAGAGCATGTTTAGGTGAGAATCTTGCCAAAATGGAGCTCTTCCTCTTCTTTACAAGCCTCCTGCAGAGATTCACATTCCAGCTACCTCCTGGAACATCTGAAGATGACCTGGATTTGACCCCTGCTGTTGGGTTCACAACACCTCCCATGCCCCACCAACTCTGTGCTCTGCCACGTTCATAAGACACAAAGTTCATGGGTTGCTTATCCTCCCTGTGTGTGCAACGCAAACCTTTTTAAACACCCTTATTAACCATGGACATTTTGGTTCAGTAGACTTCCAGTCGGATTGGCCCATGATGTGTCACAAAACTTAAGTGTTGCACACTTATGTTCTGCTTAATGTTTGTAGTAAATACGATTCCGTGTTAATTGTAGTGCTTTAGTTCAGCCTAGGAATTAAATTTTGAAATTTACTTGATTCTGTTCAGAGAAAAAATTCCTACTATAATCTGTATTTCGGTAATATATATAATCTACATATAATCTGTATATTTTGTGTCAAGCCACTTCATTCCTTGTGTATTTTACTGCTTCATCATGTGGTTCTAATTGAAGGGTACTTTAAAAACAAAGATTTAAGCAATGGATGGTCAAAAGGGAGTAGTCAAATGCAGGTGTTTCTCCCCACTCTGATCAAGAGGCTCAGATTTTAACTGAGGGCCGCAGAAATAGCAAGTCTACAGGTAACAAAATAGATTAAGTCTTTCCATGTGAAAAGAGCAATGATAAATTCCACTGGTTTTTAAAATTTACATCAGGAATTTGATTAAAAACATTAAAAACTTTCTGTGTAAAAATCCTGTTTTAAAAATTTGGGTGGGTATGGAAAAACTGGGTGGGAGATGCTGTGATCACTAGGCCTGCCCTATTTTGCTTTCTTTGAATAAAGAGTTAACTTCCCGGCACTGGTGGTGTTTTTATTGCTGACCTACTCCTGCCTCCAGCTCCTGCCAGCTTATGAGGACTGAAGGTCTCCACCTTCCCACTGCCCTCTAAGGCTCCTCCCCCAGCAGCCTACAGCTCCATCACCTTGCATCTCATGACTTTGCCGTCTTCATTTCTCTCCATGTTCTGGGTGACCAGGGAGAAGGGAGCAGGTCGTAGCAGGAGGGGGAGACTCCCCGGATGAGGCAGGCCTCATCATCTCTGTCTCCTGGCCCCTTCCTCTCCTGTCTGAACTGTTCTCTGCCCCAGCTTCTTCCCACTCACGAAACCCTGTTACCTCTTCAGCTTCCAACACCTCCTCCTCCCAGTCAGCTCCCTCTTCTCCCACTGACCACTCATCCCACCACCAGTGCCCTGTCTCTGAACCTTCTCCCTCTGGGGGTTTCCCAGCTGCTGCCTCCCATCTCAGCCAGTCCATGATACCTACCCACTTTGAACTTTTTATTTATTTACAGCCAAGTGATGTGTAAATGTTATGAAAGAAATAAATAGGGCTCGGGTCCATCTTGCAGTCTCTTGTCATATCTCTCCCGACATTGTGATGTTGTGCGCTCCTGATGTCACATCTTGGGTGCAAGTTGTCCCTCTGCTTCGGGCATAGAGATCAACTGACTTGTATTCACATGTTAACAAATGCCTTCAAATATCTCGAAGCATCATATTCCCAGTTAAATGTCCAAATATGAGCTAGTGATGATGGTTTCACTTGGGAAATACAACAACTGTACAAGCTGCAAAGACCTAAAAATAGTTTTTTATACAAGGAACTTATCTGTGAAGCCCCCTCATGCGGAGAGAGTGGGCTCTTCAAATCCAGGGTTTGCACTCCCCTACCAATTCCTGTCAGATACAAACATTTACTCTAATTTGAGAATGTAGCAATCTTCACATATTACATTCAACAAATGTTCAATCTGCATACACAAGTAGATAAGTTGTACACTCATACAATTATTCACAGTTATTCACTTTAAGAAGGCTGATTTCAAAAAGCTGAAGGAACTACTGGGTGAGATCCTATGGTCAGAA